AAGGACCTCTCCAAATTGTTGAGGAGCAGTGATGTCAGTTTGAGGATTAAGGTGCATCAGACTCAGGCCATACTTTTTCTGATTACTTGCTATGCATCTGTGAGCTGGACAATGACTAAGGATTACAGAAGAATTCATGCCTGTAAGCTGTGATATTGGAGAAGAGCACTGAACATCCCATGAATCACCAAGAGAATGAACAGAAATATCTTGGAGAAGGTGCATCCAGAATGCTCTTTAAAGGCAAGAATGATGAGGCTTTGCCTCATATACTTTGGGCATGTTGCTAGGAGGAGCTATTCCTTGGAGAAGAACATGATGCTAGGAGGAGTGGAGGGTTGTTGAAGGAGAGGAAGACCCTCGACCATGTGGATTGACACAGTACTGCTGCAATGAGCTCTTGTGTGTCGGGAAATGTGAGGATGGCACAGTATAGAACATGGTTTAGATCTTTTGTTTATAGGGTTGCTTTGAGTCATATTCAACTCTACAGCACCTAACAGCAACAAGAAAAAATTGTTTTAATGCCAATTATAAATTAGTTTAATCAATTTTTATATCATTAAGACTTTCTATTAAAAACCTTTTATTGTGTGTACACAGCATTGATTGCTAATAGTACCCAATTTTTCTCTGGATCTAGGGGACTAATTAGACAATACAAGTCTTAAGCACCTTAAAAAAGTAAGATGTCATACATATTAATAGGCCCCATTGCTAGGAAATGACTATTTAATGGGCTCCCAATAGAAACAGGAGTGACTAAATTACAGGTGGAAATGATTATGCTTTGCTGTAGGAGCCTGCCTCTCATTCTTTAAATTCTTTTCCTTATTGCTTAAAACTCAAATATTGGTGGAACATCTATTTTTTTTTTATTCTCACTTTCTGTTGTTGTTATTATCAGGTGACATAGTGTCAAGGACAATCCATAGTGACCCTATGAACAACATATCTCAACCTTCACCTATCTTGAGCCATCCTCACAATTTCTGACATTCAAGCCCATTGCAGCAGCCACTTTATCAATCCATCTGATTGAGGGTCTTCTTCTCTTTCCCAAACTCTTCACCTGTCCAAGCGTGATGTCCCCCTCCAAGGAAAAACCTTTCCTAGCAGCATGCCCAAAGTAAAGGAGAAGTTTTATCATTTTTGTCTCCAATGTACTTTGTACTCTGAATGTACTTTTCCCAAGACACACCTATTTGCTCTTTTGGCAATCTACGTGATATACAGTACTATTCTCCAGTGTCACAGCTCAAAGGCATCAATTCTTCTTATGTCATCCTTATTCATTTTCTAGCAGTCAAGTGCATGGCAAGTTATTGAAAAGACAATGTCCTGAATCAGGTGCACCTTACATCAAATTCAGATTCTTGCCCCTCAATTATTATATGTCATCTGCATAATGTATGTTATTGACCAGTCTTCCTTGGATCCTAATGCCACATTTTTTTTTCATAAAGTCCAGCTTTGGAACAATTTGCTCAGCACACAGATTGAATAGGTATGGAGAGAGAATACAACCCTGATGCACACCTTTCTTAATTCTAAATCATGAAGTGTTCCCTTATTCTATTTGTAAACCTAACCTCTTGGTCTAGGTTTAAATTTCACGTGAGCATCATTAAGTGTTCTGGATTACCATTCTTCCCAATGTTAGCCATAATTTGTTATGATCCACACAAATTCTTTTGCATTAGATATTTTTCTGTTATTCTTTACTTTCAGCGGAGATCCATCTAACTTTCTATTGGTTCTTGCTAAATTAAAATCTACATTAAATCTATGATGATATTTCTCTTATAATAGACTGAGTCATAACTTTAAAATAAATTTTCAATCTGTTTTTTAAGAGAACCTGTATTTATATTTCCTGTGGAGGCTGTAATTAGTTTCCCCCCTGTTATCATGAAGAACAATGTAAGAGCATCTTCATGAATGCAGAGGGAAGGTCCATTTCTAATCAGAGTTGTGTAGACTGTGTTCAGGGATATGAAAGGTGTGTTTCAGGTGTATTGAATAGGTATTTTTCCATACCTGTTCAGGTTCTCAAATTACTTGTTCATCATAGAGACTGTCTGAAGAATGATGTGGCATGAAGATAGGAGTAAGATTCATCAACAGTCTGTATTATGCAAAATTATTGAAAGTTTAAAGAGGAAGAGGAAAGTACCAGTTTATGTTTGACTAGTTCAGAATATATATATTATTATATATTATATATAATGCTATAGCAAAACTACACAGTATAATTATATACTATAGTTAGATAATAATGTAATATAGTTCAATAGTTCAACTATTGTTGTTGTGGGAGAAGAAGGGGCAATCTCCTCCTGTGCAGTTAACTGCCTCTGTCCACCCTCCCACGAAGCAACTGGTGAATTAGAACCGTGTGCTTTTGGGATTGCAGGATAGCTTCTTGCAACTAGGACATAATTTGTTGTTATGTGCTGTTAAGTTGCCTGCAACTCATAGTGATCCTATGTACAACAGCTCTGAACTCTGCTCTATCTTGAGCCAACCTTATTATCTCTGACACACATATACCCATTACCCTAGTCACTGAGTCAGTCTATCTTATCCAGCATCTTTCCTTCCTACGCTGTCCCTCCACCCTCCCATGCATAATGTCCCTCTTCAAGGACTGGTCCCTCCTTACAACATGCCCAAAATATGTTAGACGGAGCTTCAGAATCATTGCCGCCAAGGAGCAGTCTGGTTTCACCCTCTCCAATATGAACCTGTTTGTTCTCCTAGCAGTCCTTGGTATATTTAATACTCTTCTCCAGCACCACAGCTCAAAGGCTTTAATTCTCCTATCATCCCTAGTCACTATCTAGCTTTCTGATACATAGCACGTAATTGCGAAGACAATGACCTGGATCAGGTGCCCCTTAATCTTCAGACTGACATCACTCTTCAGTACTCTGGAGATGTCCCTGACAACAGACTTTCCTATTGCAATTCGTCTTTTGATTTCCTAGCTGCTGGTCCCAACAGTGTTGTTCGTGGAGCCAAGCAAACTAAAGCTATTAACAATCTCAATCTCTTCACCATGATGCTGCTAATTGGCCCAGTGGTAAGAATCTTTGTCTTCTTGATGTTGAGCTTCAATCCATATCTAAGGCTGGAGTCCTTGGCCTTCTGCAGCAAGCACTTCAGGTCCTCCTCAGTTTCAGCAAGCAAGGTTGTGTCATCTGCATAACACAGGTTGTTGAAGAATCTTCCTCTAATCCTGATGGCACATTCTTCCTCATAGAGCCCAGTCTCCCAGATGGTCTGTTCCACATGTAGATTGAAAAGGTATGGAGAAGGACACATCCCTGGCATACACCCTTCCTGATTTTAAACCATACAGTGTTTCCTTGATCTGTTCTGATGAATGTCTGCTGGTCTAAATATAGGTTTCACATAAGTATAATTAAGTGTTTTGGGATTCCCATTCTTCTCAGAGTCAGCCACAGTTTACTGTGATCCACACAGTAAAATGCCTTTGCATAGTCAATGAAACACAGATAGACTCTGGCACTCCCTGCTGAATATACTTTCTAAAACTAGTCAAGTAAACATAAGCTGGTCCTTTCTTCCTCCTCTTTAAATGTTTAGTAGGAATTGAGAGAAACAATCTCTTTACCTCCCATTATCTCTGATGGACACATATTATAATGGACATAGATGAGTTGTAGATATTTCCAGAAAATCAGTGGAATCTCAAGCACTGAAACTGCTGGTTAAAGTTGACATCCCATCATCTTGTGCATGCATAGCATACTGTCAGTCTTAGAGTTTCAGTGAGCTGGGAGCAATTGGTATTGCTTGCTTTGCAGTCTGCACTCTCCACCATGGTGGCCTCAGCTGCAGTGCTAGTCACCAGCAGCAGTCGGGCCTAGAGGTGATGTGCCTGGATGATTCATTCATTCAACAGTTACACCATCAGGGTGGCTCATTCTGTGAAGACTCAGTTCTGTTCACTGAGAAGAGAGGCCAAGAAGGCAGAAGAGGTCCCAGATCTCATTGAAATAACAATCTGGGGGAAGGAAATAGAAAGCTAACAGGTAAACAGCAAGATTACTTCATACAGTGATGTATACCATGAGAACCACAACAGGAGATGATGTTAAGGGAGGAATTGGAGAGTCAGGGTGATGAAGGAAGGTCTTACTGTATGTGCAAGTAGCATCCAAGTGATACAAACCAACCATAAAGAGGTTCAGGGCAGAAAGATGTCCCTTGAAAGTCCTCCTAGATCAGTAGCCAGCACAATTCACAGAATCCAGCCATCACATTGCAAGCAAATCCTTACCCTGAACTTCATGGTCACTTTCTTCCCTTTTCTGTATGACTTTTATCTCATATTTGGGGACATATCTGTTTGGGTACATAAATTAGGTTTTGAACTTTATTTCTGAAGTTGATTACTACAAGTATGGCAGAACAGCCAGGAAAGGTATAGCCAATCTTCTTTTTGAAAGCTGTGGTTTCTTCTTCTGGTATTTCCTTCTCCTGTGCTCTTTCCCTGTCTCCCTTCTACTTTCCACTTATGACATTTGCTGTTGACAGGACTGTTATGATGGGACTGGTAATGGGACACAATGATGCCCCAGAGCTATTTTTTGTTGTTCTTCCTGTTTTGATTCTTGCTGGAGCTTCTGCCTTTCCTTAGCCTTTGTGTGAGGCTCCTGCTGTTAGCGCCCTTATGGGTGCTGCTGTGGAGGTGAGTGGGTCCCTTCCTGAACCCATAGATGAGTGAGTGAAAATCTGAAGTGATGAATTTGTGCTCCTTTAAGCCTGAACCAGGATTGGCTCCAGTCCCAGCAAGGGGCTGTTCACAGCATGTCATACAGGGAATGTGCAAAGATGTTTCAGCAGATTTCTTATAAGCTGAGGGGGAAAGTCATTCCCCACAGTCAGCTCATACGGCACATTAGGCTCTCAGAAATCTCTCTGCCCTGCAGCCAGATTTCCACTTACACACATTTTTCATTGTTTTAAAGGGTAAATAATGCTTTTCTGGACCGACTCCAAGCCGAAAGTCAACCAGGTGGCCTTGAGCGGTCTGCAGGCTATTGGAATATGAATCGTGGTAACAGCTGGGTGAGTTTGTTTTTTTCTTTTCCTTTTCTGTTAAAAAACATAATCTTTCAAAGTTCAAGAATGAAAACAATGAGAATTATGAAATTGTGTGGAGGCCTTCTCTGTGGATACTATTATTTTGACATGCTGTTCAGCTGTGTGATGGGCAGTTACCCAAGGAGATTACTGTGAATTCTACTGCAGCTTCTGAGGAGGAAAGAGTCTTGAATTCAGGCCTGGTCTATCATAGTAAAAAATGGACCTTGATTTTTTTTCCCCCCCAGAATGATTGCCTTGACCTTAAAGCTTTTTATTACCTCTTGCCTGCATCTCCAGTGAAAACCAATGAGCACTATTTTTCTCCTGGAAGATTTTAAATGAAATATTGTTATAAAAGAGTAATCATTTTCTAGTAATAGATTCTTTCCATGAAACTAGCATATCAAAGAAAGAAGTATTTAATTTTTCACTAAAAGGGATTTTCTAAAGGGAAAAAAAACCCTACAGCAAAAGACACTATTGAAAATAAAATGCCCTAGCAGATTTCTGTGAAGAAAACCTTGCAATTATGTTACAGTATATGTTTCATGGAAGTCACAGACTCCCCTTAAAACTGAGTAATGTAGAGGATTGTGCGGCTGGCAATGCATCCAAAATAAAAACTAATTACAACAGGTTTTACAAGTTCATTGACGCCCACATGCCAGTGTACCTGTACAGAAGAATCATTATTGTTGTTGTTAGATGCTGTCGAGTCAAGTATGATTCATATTGACCCTATGAACAACAGATCTGAATCCTGTTCTATCCTGTCCCATTTTCATACTTCCTGAAACACTAACCTCCATTGCAGCAGTCACCGTGTAAGTCAACCTTGTTGAGGGTCTTCCTTTCCTTCACCGACCCTCTACCCTTCCAATAATCACATCCCTCTCCAAGGAAGAGCCCCTCTTAGAAATATGCCCAAAGTATGTGAGGCAAAGCTTCATCTTCTTTGCCTCCAAAAAAGCACTCCAACTACACCCTCTCCACAACATATTTATTTGTTTTTTCTTTTGGCCATCTATGATATGTTCAATGCTCTTCTCCAACACTACAACGCAAAGGTATAAAAGAAGCATCATAGTTAGTGAAAATAAATATTCTTGTCATTGGAAATCTAGAGACCATTCTTTAATAAATCTGGAGGGAGAAAAGAGCATTTTAGAGATGACAATCTGTTAGAAGCAACATAAGTGCTATCTTCTAAGGCGTCAAGTAGATAAAATGGATGGATGGATTTAGGTAATTTAATGTAGGCCAATTTGCAGATACTGTACTCTATGCATAAACAGAAACCAGATCCTCTGCTTTTCAGTCCATTATAACTGGTAGTGACGCTCCTGCAGGTTCCTGAGGGTGCATATCTTTATGAGACATGACTACCCATATCTTCTTGTTGCTAAGTGCTCTCAAGTCAGTTCTGACTCATGACAACCCCATGTTCAACCTTACCCAATCTTATGCCATCCTTATAACCTTCTGTGTCTGGGTATCTGGAAAACAAACAAAAATATTATGCCAGTATTTGCTAATGTATATTAGAGCAGACCTGCTTCATAAGATTTCCAATAGCTGATTTTACAGAAGAAGGTCACCAAACTTGCTTCTGACACACCTCTGGTTGGAATCAAACCTCCAACTTTTATAGTAAAAGCTAGTACTTGTTAGCTATTTGCACTGCCCAGTGACATATAGTTATCTAAGGTGTATGCTTCTCTGTTTCACTGTGGCATTAATAGGGACAATGTGAAGGAGAGATAAAAGGATTAAAACAGCATGCTGTCATTGTGTATTATAGTTTTCAAGTTACAGGCTGATTCTTAAGAATTACATTGATAGAATTCACATGGAAAATGATACTTTGTGAGTTTAAGATGCTACTTAAGCTCAAATCACTTATCAGTCGGGGAACATATTCTGGTTAGGACTAGGAAACTTGCTGGCATTTTCTCTCTCACCTAGCAGAACTTGTAAAGTTGAAAAAGTAAGTAGGAGACATAGAGAGGATGTAAATCAGAATTAGAGGTAGGAAATGAGGGGAAAGTGCAACTACATTGTGGGTATTCAAATTAATGTGGAACAGAATGTATATGCATATTGAATGGAAAATTAATCTGCTTTTTAAACTTTCTCTCAAATAAGAATCAAAGTATTTTTTTTAAGAACGTAGAAAAATCCCTGAGATTGAGGAGAACATTCTGAGTGAGAGTAAGTGGAAATCACTATGGCCCTTTGAGAAGGAAGCGAGGCCTTGGGCCTTTGATTTATTCTTCTCTTTGAAGATCCCTTACAGATGGCATTCTCAGAATGCCACACTGAGGATGGCTGAGCCTTATTTCCTTAGTGGCTCAGGCATGTCCTATGTCCAAGCTAGTTAGCCTTACTTCACTTACATGAAGGAAGCTGTAATGAAAAGGTCAGATTTTCCTCTGGTTTCCACTTCCTCACCTTACAGGCATCTGTTCTTCTTTGTCTGCTTTTCCCTGTACATTGAATTCTGCTTCCTCTACTTTGGGGGAGGAGGATCAGGAGAGAGAGTGCTCTGACAATATCCTTCCTCCTCGTTCCTGAGTTACCAAATATTCTCTCTCAACTAGAAAATTTCTATCACCATAAAATGCAAATATTCATTCTATTGATATTCTATTGATACCACTTTTCCTTTTTGCTACCAACCTGTTTCTTTTCTGCCTCTTTAAGAGATATCTGGGCTGGCTGCCTTTGATGTATTTTCTTGTAAACTCACTCTAATCAGGTTTTAGACCATTGTAGTCCAGTGAAACTGCTCTTGTCAGGACCACTCACAGTCTCCACATTGCAAATACAGTGGTTATTTCTCAGTCTTCATCTTTTTGACCTACCAGCATCAGTTGCCTGGGTAAACCACTTTCTCCTTTTTGAAACTAAAGATCTTTAGTTAGATTCCAGAACCTCAGAACCCCAACGACCCCACCCAACCCCTCACATTGTTTTGGTGTTTTGTTTTGTTTTGTTTTGTTTTGTTTTTATACTGCCTTGCTGCTGCTTCTTGACTTTCTCCCTTGCTTAATCCTCTAGTCTCACTGGCCTTTCACTGTTGGAATGCCTCAGGGCTCCATCAGGGACCACCTTTGTAATGACATCCTCTTATTACTTCTCATGGAATGAGGGACTATCTGTATGCCTTTTGTCTCACACATTGTCATCGAGTCAGGAATGACTTCTAGCTAACTCTCTGATGGATTTCTGAGGCAGTGGGTCACACAGGAAGAGTCTGCTCATCCTTCTGTCTTGGAGGCACTGGTAGATTAAAAATGTCAGAGGTGTGAGACCTCTGGGTTAACAGCTTAACACCCTGTGAACTAAGCAATTTATATGCTTATTGCTTTTACGTGTCTAATTCCATTCTGAACCCCCTCCTCCACACTTGAGAAGTATATGTCCTGTTGTCCACCTGATATCTCTGACTGATGTCTAATAGACTGTTTCAGCCTTTCCTTAACCTTTGCTCCTGTTCATTACAATGCCCTCTTTGTACCCCTGAAGGCACTCTGGTGGCTTAGTGGTAAGGAGTTGCGCTGCTAGGTCAAAAGCAGGCAGTTCTAATCTACTAGCTGCCTCTCAGAAGAGAGATGGACAATCTCCTCTCATATGATTTACAACCTCTGAACACCCGCTAGAGGGTCAGCAATGAGTCAGTTTCAACTCAAGGGCAATGTGTTTAAATTTTGAGTTTTCCCTCACAACTGAACTTAGCAAATCATCTTTACTCCAACAGATGTCTAATCCAGCAACTTGTTTCTACCCTCACCACTGTTTTCCATGATTATTATTGCAAGAGCCTCTCAGTGCTTTCTCCCGCTTCCATTCTTGCCTACATGTGTCTATTCTCGATAAGAAAGTGACAAGTCAGATCTTGACACTCCTCCACTCACAGTCTACAATGGCTCTCATGGTTTCCATACACACTTGGTTCAAAATTCAGTCTTTAATAGCCAACCCAGTGCTCTGTGGTCTGGACCCACTTGTGCTTTCTAACCTCTCCTACTGCTGAACCTTTGTTGGTTCTTCTCTGCCTCTAGCTTCCTCGCTGATCCCTGGGAGCCTCAGACATCGGTCTTTTATTGAACGCTCTCTCAACAATTCTCCAAGAAAGCCACGCCGTTCATTCCTCTTCATGTGTTCCCTTAGGCCCCACTGCATGAATGGGATCTGGCCATTAATTTCAACCCTGATACTTTGTATGCACCCTGATACACCATTTGCAATCTCTTTTCCAAACTCCATTTCTTTTTCCCATAGCACTCTTTGAATTCAGACATTCTTTTCTAGTAGAATGTAATTGTTTATTCCATTGACTGTTTAACTGAAGAGCCCTGATGGGATAATGTTAAGGGTTTGGCTACTTACCAAATGGTGGGCTGTTGGAACTCACTCAATGGTTTTATGGGAGAAGGATCTGAATATCTGCTTCTTTTATTTTGAATTCATTTATTAAAATATAAGTTTTTTTATTTTTTATACTGATATTCTTGAATATGTGCTTCTTTTAAGATCTCCAAAAACTCAAACTCATGGCTATTGTATTGACCTTGACTTATGGGATCTTACTATTGGGTTTCTAAGGAACTCTTTAGTGGAGAAGATTATCTAACCTCTCCTACTGCTGAACCCTTGTTCGTTCTTCTCGGCCTCTAGCTTCATACTGTTCCTTGGGAGCTGCTAGTGGATCTGAATTGTTGACTTTTCAGTTAGCAGACCAGTACATGATGCAGTGCAAAGAAAACTCTATCAGAGAAAAGAAAATTCTGGCTACTCTGACACGTGGGACTTAAGTGGGTCAAAACTGACTTGATTGCACCTGCCAATGACTCTGTCTGCTGTTAGTCTCTCCCTGTGATAATACAAGTTTCCATAAGGGCAGTGTCTTTTGATTATTTTGTTCACTGATATGTTCTGAATGTTAAGCAGTGACTGGGACTTACTATGTGCACAGATAAGCATATGGCTGTGATTGAGCAGCACAGAAACAACAAAGTAATTGCGTACCAGTATAATTTGTCAGACTAAAAGTCTCAGCTATCAAATGTAAAACTAAGCTTAAAACATAAGAGCTTTGGTGGCACAATGCATTAGTGATAAGCCATGGTCTTTGCAATCACTTGTTATGCATCAGAGAGTTGGACAATGACTAGGTAGGACAGAAGGAGAATTGATACCTTTGAGCTGTGGTGCTGGAGAAGAGTATTGAATGTACCATGGACTGCCAAGAAAACAAACAGATTCATCCTGGAGAGGGTTAAACCAAGCTGCTCCTTGGAGGCAAGGATTCTGGGGCTTCATCTGACATACTTTGGGCATGTTGCAAGGAGGGACAGATCCTTGGAGAGGGACATCATGCTTGGGAGGGTGGAGGGTTGGTGCAAGAGGGGAAGACCCTCTATGAGATGGATTGATTCAGTGACGGGGGTAATCGGGATGGGTGTATCAGAGACAATGTGATTGGCACAGGATAGAGCAGGGTTTAGGGCTGTTGTACATAGGGTCACTATGAGTCACAACACAACATGACTCGATGGCACATAACAACAACAACAACAACAACAACCAACCAACCAAAAGATTAGTGATCTCAGTCTACCAGCTGCCCCTCACGAGAAAGATGAACAGTCTACTCCCATTAAGACTTATAGCCTCAGAAGTCTGATGGAAGATTGTTAGAAGTCAGAATTGGCTCAACACCAGATAGCACTCAAAAGAAAAGGAGCTTTGGTGGTGTGGCAGGTGAAGTGTTGAGCTACTCATCAGAAGGTTAACAGTTCAAACCCACTATCCTTCTATATGGGAAAAAGATGAGACAGTCTTGATAAAAAAAATATAGCCTTGGAAATGCTATAGGGTGTTTTTGCTCCACTTTACAGGGTCAGGGTGGGTGAGAATTGCCTCAACGGCAGTGAGTTTGAGTTGGGGGAAGGGTTTACATATACCCCCCTACTGTAGAAAAAGGTAAGCAAAAATCAAGAAAAGAATGGAAAAACAACAAAGCAGATTTGCAAAAGAATACAACACAGCTTCTAGGTGTAAAGCTACAATATTGAACATTTTTCAAAGTTCAATGAAGTCATTATAATTATGTAAAGATAAGTTCAAATTAGCAACAATACCAATGTAACTTATCTCCTATTTGGCAAAAGTGGAAAAAAAAACCCCAAAACAGCTCAACCCCACGCTTGGCCCTTTGAGAGCTGGACAATGAATAAAATGACATAAGAAGATTCAATGACTGTGAGCTGTGGTGGTGGAGAAGAGCACTGAATACCTCATGGAATGCCTAACAAATAAGTCTTGGAGAAGGTGTAGTCAGAATGCTCCCCAGAGAGGAGGGTGGTGAAGTGTCATCTCACATACTTTGGGCATATTGTTAGGAAGAGCTGTTCTTTTGAAAAGAGACATTTTCCTAGGGAAGGTGGACGGTCTATGAAAGAGAAGGATATTTTCAACTAGATAAATTGACATAGTGACCGCAACATTGGGTCCGCGTATGTCAAAGATGATGCACGGTGCAGGATAGGACAGGGTTCAGTTCTGTTGTTCATGGGTCATTATGAGTCATATTTGACTGGAGAAGGCTAACACATAAAAATAACAGTAATACAATCCTATGGGGACAGAGGTTGCCTTCATAAATTGCTGGTGGTAATGCAACATGAGCCCAATACCATCTGATGAATTTGTTATGAAATTAAAGTATTCCTAAGCATGTTGTTGTTGTTGTTATGTGCCGT